GAAGGTGGTGGCCCCAGCCCTGGTCACACAGGGCCAGAGGGGCAGGGGGATCCCTCAGCCAGCTACGGACCGAGGGGTGGCCCCGCACAGAGCCGGCCTGCCTCCCCACTGCTCTGTCCAGAGGCCAGCTGGCACCACCCAGGAGCACCAGTGGGACCCTTTGTCTGCCAGAGGGTCACCTGCAGGTATGAGAAAACTTTATCCTCACAAAGACCAGAGCCCACAGTGGCACACAGTTGGGGCAGGGGGATCCCTCAGCCAGCTACGGACCGAGGGGTGGCCCCGCACAGAGCCGGCCTGCCTCCCCACTGCTCTGTCCAGAGGCCAGCTGGCACCACCCAGGAGCACCAGTGGGACCCTTTGTCTGCCAGAGGGTCACCTGCAGGTATGAGAAAACTTTATCCTCACAAAGACCAGAGCCCACAGTGGCACACAGTTGGGGCCTTGCCCATGACCTCTGGGAGCTGCAGCCCGGAAAGGGACAGGGAGGGGGACCCCAGGTCCACCTTGCTCTCCCACGGGGCGACTTCACCCACCAGAGTTGGCTACAGAGCACGTGGGCACTGAGCTTGAAGGCAGGGATATGGCGTGGAAAGGGGAACTGGAGAGTGAGAGGGAGAAGGGGACTGGCCTCACCACTGGCCCCAAGAAAGGCCTACCCTTTGTAGGTTTCTCCCCGCTGCTCTCCACTGTGGGCATAATGCCTCCTGGGGGGCTCGCCTTCTGGGACTGCAGAGTGGCCCATGTTTGGAAGCTCACACTTGCTCATGAAGAAGAAGTGTGGACACTGGCCCAAGAGGAAGGCACTGGCAGCACTCGGCTCACAAGACAGCAGGAACTTGGGTTCAGACGAGGACATTTTAGACCAGAGGTATAGATGGAGGGTGGATAGAGGCAGGAGAACAGGAGGCATGGGGTAGTGACCCCAGTGAGCTGAGTGACATCTCCATGGAGGATGGTGGCCCACGGTCAGGGGCAAAGTCCTCAAGCTGTGAGTGCAGGTCCTGGTGCTGGCGTATCTGTGGATGGCGCATGTATGTGTTTGTACCTGTGCATGTATAGGTGACACTGTGGGTAGCGGAGGAACGGGGGCCACTGTAACCACCCTGTACATACATACATTAACAGGAAACAATGCCCTTATTTAACATGTGTCCTAATAAATATGATTTTTATACTTTTTATTGTTTATTTGTTTAACAGTATGACCAGGCACCACCCTTGGATTTCCTTTTTTTAAAAAAAAAATGTTTTTATTGATTTTTAGAGAGAGAAGAAGGGAGAAGAAGAGAGAGATAGAAACACTGATGAAATCCTGAGAGAATCATTGATCAGCTACATTCCCTACTAGGGACTGAGCCTACAACCTGGGCATGTGCCCTGACCAGGAATCAAACTGGGGGACTCTTGGTGCATGGGTTGATGTTCAACCACAGCCACACCGGCCAGGGATGATTTTTGTACCTTTTTGTAAATTTTTTTAAGTGCTGTGAAAACTGCTTTTGGAAAATATAGCTCTTTGATTTTGTAGGGCACCCCTGACTGCAGTTGCTGTGGCCTCCATATCACTCACATCACAGCCAGGCTTTAGTGACTCTGAGACTGGTACTTTGGGGTGATTGCATGGAAATGCCTGGCTATGCCTGAGGGGGCAGCAGTGACACTCCCCAGAACACCCTCTCTCCCGCCCCCCCCACCCCCCCTCCGCAACAAGTCCCTGACGTCTCTATCCAGAGGCTTCTGGACATCACTTGTTATAAGGGACCCCTGGTGGAGAGGCCTGAGCATGTTCCCTGAACACATTGCAGCCACAGCCTTTGACCTGAGAACCTTTAAAGTACAAACACCAGCAAACACACTGGCCGACCCCCAGGCCTGTGCAAGTGGAAGTCCCAGGAGGGAGCTCTCACAGGTCACCCCAGTTCCTGGGGCCTGTATTGCTTCATGTCCAGTCCTGTTCAATGACTACATGGTCTTAACAGCTCAATAAAACTCTTTGTACACGGGGTGGAAGAGGGGATAATCCTCCGGGCCTAGTTAACAGTTCTGCAGAACTGGCTGAACTGTCATAAATCCTGCCAATCTTAAGAAACTTGCCAACCTCTACTAAACTAAAATTGGAATTGCGCAAATACAGGGTAGAGGCAATCGTGGACTTTACCAAATAGCTAAAATGAAATTCTTCCAGAAAGCATTTTAAAACTACCATCTTTTTTCATTATAAAAGAAACATGTTCCAGCCCTAGCTTGTTTGGCTCAGTGGATAGAGCATCAGCCTGCAGACTGAAGGGTCCCAGGTTTGATTCTGGTCAAGGGCACAGGCCCAGGTTGCAGGCTCCCTCCCCAGTGGGGGGTGTGCAGGAGGCAGCTGATCATGATTCTCTCTCATCGTTGATATTTCTATCTCTCTCTCCCTCTCCCTTCCTCTCTGAAATCAATACAAATGTTTATATATATTTTAATGTAGAAACCATTCTTAGCTCT